CAAATTAAAAAAAAAAAAAACTCAAAATGAACAAAATAGAATATTTAATTCTGCCAAAATCCGAAAAAAAAGAACTATATATATTTTTCTCACTTTTTTTTTGTTTTGATCATTAGATTGTTGGGACGTCCAAGAGTTTCAGCAGGAGGGAGCTCCGGTCGCCGGAGAAGAGAAGGACGGCGGATTCCGACGACTCGATGAGCAGCAGTTGCAGCAGCTCAGACGGGCGGCGGCTCAGCTTCCGGCCGGCGACGCCTCCTCCGACCGCCATTAGCTACCGGACGGCCAAGCGGAGGAAGGGAATTCCCCATAGAGCCCCTATGGGATGCCTCGCGATAGAGGGTAATTGAGTTATTAAAGGCCCACAAAGGGCAACTAAACTAACTAATAATAAGCTAGTGTAAAAAAAAGTTGGCTTTTGATGTGAGGTGTGAGCTTGTACATAGAAGCATATTCTAGTGGGTGCATATAAATGTGCAGAAAAGGTGAAAGAAGGATAGTTTTGGAAAATAAGACAATATAGAAAGGCCTGATAAGTTTGTCTTAATAAAGTGTTTTTTTTTAATGAAAATGTTGTATACTATATATATATATAATATATATATATATTATATATATATATATATTATTTTTTTTTTGGTGTTTGGCTGAGTTATTTGTTTTCTGCTATGATCATAATCCTTTTGGACAAATAGTACTTCTTTATGCCACTCCATTCAAAAGTGAATGAAGAATTTAATTGAATGAAGGGGAAGAAAATGAGATGTAAAATAATTTTCAAGTGTTTAATGTTGTTGGGTCAAATGGAGTAAAGAAAATTAGGTTATTGTTGTGTCAAAAGGAGGGGAGAAAAATGGGGTTTCTTTTTTTTGTATTTTTTTTTCACAAACAACACCCAGCAGGGTGAGGGGTTAAGACAGTACTCATTTTCAGTGGGGCTAAAAAGTCACAAGGCTACAAGTTCAAAGTCTAATATACATCAAGTCAAACGTAAACAAAAAACAAAAGCAAGAAAAGGTACAAAGGAAAGCTGACAACAATAGCGAGAACACAGAAATAACAAATCATGGTACGGGGAGAATCTCGGCGAAAATGTCAGCATCTCAGTGGGGCAGATGTGCCAAAAGATAAGACTGGCTACCGAAATCTGAATGAAAGGTATCCCATCTGATCCATCCGTATGAAGGTGAAGAGGTGGAGAGGAATATCGTCAGGGTAAAGAATGTGCTTTTGTGGGGGTGGAGG